GGTACAATCGCCATAGATCCAAATCATTTCCATTACTCCTCTTACTTATCATTTAGAACTTACGGTGTGTTTGATTGAAAAATTTTCCATGGAACAATTTTTTCCCTCAAAAGTATTTTCTAACCTTTGAAAATATGCCTAGTTTTCCTTATTTTTGAGGAAAACATTTTCTTTATGGAGAGGTAGGTTTTTGTTTTCCTCAAAACAAGGAAAACATATTCTTTTCTAGGAAATAATTTCCATGCTAATCAAACACGCCCTTAATTAAATTGAATTGATATTTCTAACGATGAAACCATCAACAACTTACTCCTTGCTCGATTAAGCATCATGAAAATTCTAAGCTAATCAATTTGATTCAAACATTTTGAATATTTTTTTTTTCTTAACACTTTTTGTGATTTCTTGCAATTGAAAGCTTGCAAAAAAAATCAGGCAATGTACTACACGTTCAACATAGAACCTATGTACAGTCAATGAGGAAAAGGTGAATCCGTTACCACTGGAATAATAATGAATTATACTAGAAAATAAATTGAATACAAATAATAAATTTCTTTCTATTTATCTATTATTCTTGAATCACATAGTTTGGAATCCTAGAATATGGCGCCCAAACAATTCGATTAGGGGTCAGTACACACGCTGGTTTTAAGAATGAGTGATTGCCCTTTTCCGATCCTTACTGCCCGACCTAAGAGATGAACCTGTTCCCATGCAATAGTCAGCACCATCTGCTAAAATTTGTCCCTTTTTAAAGCCCGAAAACACAATATGTGCCCCAGCTACACCTTCAACGGCTTACGAAATGAAGGGGACTAAACAGGAACAAGAGAGATCGGCCGAAGAAGATGCCTGCGATTATTTCTAGTATGGAATGAGTCAATTTGGGAGCGAACTCCGGGCAAATATGAAGCAGCTAAGCGGAGCTAAAAGGGTTTTCCATGAGATGGGAAATGAGCTGACGAATGAGGTGGGTTGATTAAGATGAATATTTGGAATCCATATTATGCAAGGAGACATTGCTTTTGCTAATTCGAATTGTTTGAGTAATAGCAATGATATTTTCCAATATCATGTTTTCTTCTGGGTAGCTACGATATGTTGTCCTAATCGAAGAAAAATAAACTCCCAATTTTTAAAGTAAATGCAACTTCAACATTCACTGCAATCTTCTTTGCAATTTCTATCCACTCTCAAATTATACCAACTATCAATAACTCATTAACACGATACCAATTAACTTAGCGAAGATCAAAGTAACGAAATCAATAGCCAAATTACAAAACCAATTTTTTGATCAAAACAAAAACCAAAAAACCTAGGAGGAACGGAAGATCAACCCTAGAAGCAAAAAGGCGTATTTACCTTAACAGAAATGGTGGGAACAATGCTATTATTTATATGATGCTCGTCGCCGACGACAAAGAAATCAGCCAAAACGACGACTTTGCTGTGTAATTCCTCCGATACACACTTTGTTCCTGAACTCGGTACGTCCAACCATATCCCCCGCGCCACCGGCACCACCAGCCCCACCACAATGAGCACTACACCCAACAAACAGACCTCTACTGACTTCATCTGTACACCTATGAGTGTGCGTAACTTTGTAAGTATAATTAGAGGTTGAAGGCTGGAATTGGATCGGATTTGTCCAAAAGGTTGAATTTCTTCTTGGGGTAGATGAGAAGAACCCACGCGCCTAATGAGTGGAGGGGTTGACTAATTATTATTAAAATCCCATGACGAAATGCGAGTGGGTATATAAAGTTAGTGTCTTCGCGCCACGCATCTACTCTTTAGTTTAAACCAATCATATCGTTCCATTTAAGAAATGAAGTGCCAGTTAGGACAATCAACGTAGAATTAGGTTGAGCACCCACGCTCTTCAACTGGTTTGGTTTGTATAGGATTTCAGGGCAAAATTGGAAGATTGGTCCCCATATAGAATTAGGTTGAGCCCCTAATTCAATAATATTTTTTGGAGTGTATATGATTAAAAAATAAAAAAAAAGGATTATTCTAGTGGTAGTTAAAGGGATATGGAGGCGCCCCAGGGGCGCTTGTGATCCATCGGCGCCCCTCCAATAGGCGGCGCCGAATGTCCATTATGGACACCTTTCAGTACATAGTGATGTGCCACTAGAAAATCCTAAAAAAAATTATTGATTTGTAGTTAGAATACTTTATTGTATGAATATGCAGTGAAAAATGATACTATAACAAACAATTTAAAATTTTAAAGAGGGTCGAACAAGCATTTAGCAAGTTGGTCTCCTAAAGTCTAGTAGACATCTCATGGCATCCCCAAATTCAATTTGCTTCGAAAATGAGGATTTTCAATCCCCGTCCACTCCAAAATCTTGACATGACAAAAATGATAATGGACATCCAGTTAAACACTGTCTCATGTTGATCCCGTTGTCATTCCTACCTCATTTGTTAAGAAGAGATAATGTGTCGAATTGCGACAAGTTTGAGATATTAAATTCGAGCTCTAATCTACAATTTTCCAAAGTTATAAACGCAATATATTGATTAATGAAACTATGTCACGAGCCATTTGCCCGTGGACGAGTCGAGCAGGTTCAACTCGCTTAACGAGCATGTCGCTCGGCTCGTGCTCGAGCTAGTCCAAATACGAACTTGAGTTGCCTTTTTACGAGTTGAACTAACGAGCCGCTCAACTCGATTGACACCCCTAATTTTAGTTCGCAATGCGAGAATTTGTAAAAATGGTTACTGTGGGGAATTCTGCCACTCGGTGACTTCATTTTCAACGGCAACCTCCACTCAAGCAGTCAATTCTATCACTGAACCATGCCCAAGCACAACCGCTGTCTTCCGCTCGCCGCCGTGATCCTCCTCTTAATCCTACAACCATCCGCCATCGGCCATCCTCCCACCAACACTCCCATAACCCGCTTCCAAAACTACCTCAGAATCTACACCGCCCACCCCAATCCAGACTACAACACCGCCGTCAACTACCTCACTAGCTTCGCTCGCACCATCCCTACCCTCCAGATTCAAACCCTTTACTTCACCACTCCAGATAAGCCTCTTCTCCTCCTCACTTGGCCTGGCTCTAATCCCTCCCTCCCCTCCGTCCTTCTCAACTCCCATCTCGACTCCGTCCCCGCCGAGTCCTCCAAGTGGTTGCACGAACCTTTTGAAGCCCACATATCCCCTGACGGAGAAATCTACGCTCGTGGCGCACAGGATGATAAATGCATCGGAATGCAGTATTTAGAGGCCATCAAGGAATTGGAAATTAATTTTCATTATTCTCCAACAAGGACCGTTCATATATGTTATGTGCCAGAAGAAGAGGTGGGGGGATTTGATGGGATGGCTAGGTTAGTTAAGTCTGAAGAGTTCAAGAAGTTGAAAGTTGGGTTCGTTTTGGATGAAGGCCAGGCGTCAACTACTGATCAGTTTAGGATATTTTACGCAGATAGGTCCCCGTGGCATGTGGTGATCAAAGCCACGGGAGAACCCGGTCATGGGTCACGAATGTATGATAATAGTGCTATGGAAAATATGATGAAGAGTATAGAGGTTATCACTAAGTTTAGGGAAAATCAATTTGATCTTGTTAAGGCCGGTTTGGCTGCACCTTCAGAGGTTATTTCGGTTAATCCTGTGTTTCTGAAAGCCGGAATTCCATCCCCAACGGTGCGTTTAAGTTTGCAAATATTGGTGCGAAGTATATTGTGATTGATTTGTATTAGTAATTTATAATGGCTAACGGATTTGAATGATCAGGGATTTGTGATGAATATGCAACCATCTGAAGCGGAGGCGGGATTCGACATTCGGCAGCCACCAACGGCAGATCCTGATCTTATTAGGAACAGAATTGCTGAGGAATGGGCACCTG